TTGTTTGGAAAGACACTTTTTCTTTTTCTAGGCTATGCAAGGATTAGGCAAGAATTACAGTTTGAAACAGAAGCTACAATTACTCTTAAATAAATATCTAGGCAACTGGTAGTTTTATTTCCTTTACAGTCTAAAGCCAAGTGGTGTTTCAGGATTTCTGTCACTTTTAATGGCTTTTGAAAAAATAGACAGTGAGCTATTCCAGCCATCCTCTTAATGTGTTCCAGTGCTAGAAATTAGTCTAACATGTAAAACTGTTCACTAAGCTTAACTTAATTATGCTTCTATAGTTGAAGATTTTGAATTACTCTGCATCAGTAAAATGTTTTCCACTGATATAATTACATATGTTTTCATAGCATTTATTGATACCAGATACTTTCCATCATAAAATGCTTAGGTCATAATTAAATTTTCCAATGATTATTAAATAATAATAATGTGACGATTTTTGAAATGAAAGCTTAAAGCTTTTTTTTTGAAGGGTATACACACACATACACATATGTATATGAAGGAATAAAAGTAAGATGAGCCATATGATTTTTATCCAGCAATATACAACCTAGGCCAAATATATATAAGTGTTTGTATATTCGCACATATGTATTCCTGTGCTAAGAACTACTAAGTTCTTAGTAAGAACTACTAAGATTTAGAGTTTGAATATACACACATAGAGTTACAAAGTAATTCAGTCACCTATTACAGAGATAATTTCTGTGGGCTTAGGTATGTATTTATAGATAACAATGTAGGTAAGGTCATGTGTTAATAAGAATAAGAATTTTCTAGTCATTTTTTATAATCAGAATAGAAGTTTTCAATCATTGAAGTCATTCACAAATCCTGATGAGTAGAAGTAGAATCCCTTGTGGAACATTTTTCCCCTATGGTCAATTATATGCTTTATGAAAAAGAGTAGAGCTATGCATATTTGGGCTCCTAATCATATTTTCCATTCATAAATTGTTTGTAAGGCTATCAAGTAGGTAAATGAATAAATAGGTCACAATTTATCTAGTATTCTATAAATGTTAGTAAAGAATACAAGTTAATCTCTCTTCAGATATGGTTCCTCTTTATGAATCATTATACACAAAAATATCCTTTTCAGTTTGAATTGATATACCAGAATAGCACAAATTGGGTGCTTCAAGCAACAAACATTGATTTCTCACAGTTCTTTGAAGTTGGAATTTCAAGGTCCATTAGAGTTGGAATCTTGGGGAGGGCCCGCCACCTGGTTTCCAGACACTGCTCCATCCTTCGATCCTCACATGTTGGAAAGCAGAAAGAAGGAAATAGGATCTTTCATGTCTCTTTGTAAGAGCACTAGTCCCACTCATGAGAATGTCACCCTCATGATCTAATTATCTTAGACCCCTCTGCCAAATACCATCACACTGGGGATTAGGATTCGACATTCAGATTTTGGGGAGATATATTCAGTTCACCACAGAGAACTGTTTGTTCTTCATGCTTATTTGCCAAAGGGAAAAATTCTAGTTTCTGTATTTTCATATTGTACAAATTATAAAACATTATTAATAGAGATAATTAAAGCAAGAAAAATGTAGGGATCATACAAAAACATAGAGCTAAAAATTGATAGCATAAAAACTAGAGATTTGAATAATGCTATCTTTCAAAGACTGAAGGAGGATGGTAAAATTAAGTCTGGCTTATAATTGTAACTTTGTGATATTAGGAGACAAAGTGAGATATGTAGTTGGGCTTGGGGGAAAGTGAAAAGTGGGGAAGAAAGAATGCATGCACTTAAACCTTAAAATCAGAAAGCCACTGAACTCTTTGGTAGGTATTCAGTCATGGATTAAAATATGTGTTTCCTAAAGCAAGAATACAAATATATATATAGCTCATAAAATTGCAGAAGAGGGGGATTTTGAAACATTATTTTGAATAAGATGTTTTAAAATGGAAAGAAATAAATTGAAATTTAATATCTTAATTTAAGCTGAACAGTGAGTTAAATGGCATTGATCTTGGCTATTAATTTTGTATCCTAGTAATTTTGGTTTGTTTTGAAGAATTTGAAATATTTTTAGTGAGTATAATGATGCCTAGTCACTTGTTATTTTGCCACATATTTATACAAGTGAGTAAAAACCAAAGCTGAGCAGTTGTGTTGTTAATCTGCTGAAGAACAAATTTTTTTCCTCTAAATTTTGCAGGAATCTTCTGAAATTGGATTCTAGCAATTTATATTTCAAGAGCAAATAAATAATAGAAACATTATACTATTATTCTCTAAACTTTGAGTTAAGCAACATGTGTTTGTTGGGTCTTAGGTGCCTTCAGGTTTAAGGAAAAAGATTGTGCATTATGAGCAAGATTAGGAGTCTTAAACCTGATTGATGAAAGTACAATTCTACTGAATACAGCCTCCCGACTTATATTTCCCCTACAATCAAGACAATACCATATGAAATGGGAAGTATGGTACTCACTGTGATGACATGAGAGAGATGCTTCATATGAAAACCAGTTCATACCATATCTAGAAAAAGAAATAAAGCTGAGTAGTACAAACATGGCAAATACAGGAAATGACCAGGAATTCCTGTGGGCTTTTCAGGAATTATAGTAAACCAGATTTCAAAAGCCATTTTCTTCTATCTTATCCTTCATATAAATCTAGAATCATCACTCTAGAGAGTAAGAAGAAACAAAGAATGTGTGATCCAATTTCTTTATGTTGCATATTAGAAACCAAAGAATTATAGCTTGTGAAACATTAGAGTAGATTTTAATTTTTTCCTGAAAATATAAAAAAATGCATTTCAATTACATGAGTTTTGGTTATAGAAGTGAACACTTGAGTTAGCAGAGTCTCAATTGAAGTTCAGGTTTTAGGTGTAACTCAGGTGATACTGTGCCTCTCAATTTATCTGTGGAGCAGATCCTTGGTTGTTGTTTCAACTTTCTAAACTACTATGTATTAATACTTGTGTAAAATACAAAAAAAATAATAGATAAATTATCAGGTAAATTTGGGTTCAATGTTTCTAACATTTTTTATCTGTCTTTTATAGGTCAGTAAAAATTTGTGGACAACGTATTATAATATGTAAAGCACTGATTTGAGAAAATGGAATAGCAGTGATATTTTGGAAAATACAAAAAAAATATGTGCTACTGAAACTAATAGCACACAAAGAAATTTGAGACTTTGTTTAAATACCTTAACTGCACAGGCATACTATCACTGCAGCACACCTTCATGCAAATTTGTGTTATAGTAGGTGCTTTTATTATATTCTAAACCTCTGTTTCCTATACACTGTCAAATGACCATAATGAATTTTCTGGTCCTATAAGAATTTTTTGAGGTTTAAATAAAGTAATCATGTACAGAACTCAAGGCTGTGGATAATAAATAATGGAGTTATAGGCCAGAGGGGATCTGATTTCAGGGAGTCCCAACAAATCAAGTCCAGCCACTCACTGCAGAAACTAAATGTAAAAATAAATGATGAAAATCAGGAAGGATATTTCTTTAATAAAGATATATAGAAAAATCTAGGGGGATCAAGTGTCCTTAGCACTGTCTTTGGAGATACTGACAAGAGATGTGGGCTTAAATAGGAAAGAAACAGAGTGAAGGAGATGTGCGAAGAAGCATGCATATTGCTGTAGTCTTGGTCAAAATGTTGTCTGCTGGATAACTATCTCAGGATTGGCCAAGCAGAATCTTGCCCTGGATTGTAATGCAATTTCAATTACGTGGTAGCAGATTGCAGAGGTGGGAGGTCGGGGGGCCTAGAAAATCCTCACCCTCCAAGTGCATCCCTGGGGTGGGACAAGGGTGGAGAGCACAGGTGGCAGTGGGAGTCTAAGGGCAACGAGTTCTCTGTATTGGTCTTCTTCCACCACCAGCCACAGAAATGCACTTTGGGGGTGAAGGTGTCCTAGGACTTCTGTTTCTGCACCCACAGTCCATGCAGGAAGTGGCTGGGGATGGTGAGGTTCTCTCCCAAGATGGCCCCGAACTAGCAGACAGCCTAGTTCTTCAGTAAAGAGGCTATATCAGGTGATGGGGTGAGCAGACACACAATGGGCTCATGACCAGAGCAAGACATGGCAGCTGTGGGAAGCATAAGGTCCTAGGCAGCTGCCTGGGTACCACCGCCTCCCGCATTCTTCTTCCTCAGCAGGCCAGTTGACCAGGCCCAAGACCAGGGCCTGGAGCCTCCACCACAAAGGACATCCCAGCTACTGGTTACCTTATCACTCTGACACCCACTATCCAATGCCCTTGCTGCCATGCCAGCCTGGAGTTCTTTGCTGCAGCCAACCAGACTCCCCACATGGCCACTGGATGCCACCTTCACTATCCTGCAGCTGGACCCCAGTTACTCCTGTAGGACACTGCCTGTTGTTGCTGCCCCTGCTTCTGAACTCTTATGGTGCCACTACCATTGTGCAGCACTCAAACTTCCAAACTCCAGATGGACTCCAACAATGCCCACAAAGGCCCCAATGTCATTGTACTTTACACCACACCTGGTGCCCAACCCCTATACTGAGGCTGGACCCCTGATGCAGCTGCATGTTGCTCCTGCGCCTACCAGAATCTGGAGCTCCACCCTGCTGCCACCAGACTTTAACATGGATACTAGACAGTGACACTCAGTACTGGGGCCAACTTCATTGCAACTGCCAGAGTTTGGTCCATTATGTTTTTGCCAAGAAGCCCCTCTCCATAAAATAAAAGTGCAAGGCAAAAAAAACAAGTGCTGATGTAGAAGCTCTTGCAAGTTATCTAGAAGGTCTTGCTAAGCTATTCCATGAAGATATGTTGTGCTTTAGGTAGTAGGTGTCCCCAAAAGCTCATGGGTGAGCCAATACAAGAATTATCAGTGAAATGATTCAGTTCTGAGAGCTTTAACCCAATCAATGGTTAATTCCCCTGACAGATATGAACAGGCAGCAGGCATGGAAGGGCATGTGCTGGACCCTTCCCAAGCTATGAAGCAGCAAAGCGGTCCACCTTTCAAATTGGATAAACCCTAACAATGTTAGCTAGATCAATAAGTAAACAAGAATAAGTTTACAGGAGAAAGAAAGGCTGACAAGTGGATTGCTTTGGTTCACATGTTTGGGAATTGTGGGCTGAACACAACAGATTCAGGCACAGCTTTATCCAGGGGTTGCAGTGTCATCATCAGGACACTGCCTCTCTCCCTCTCCCGACACTGCCTTCTTTGCCCACCCTGACTCTGGGGGTGGTGGCATGTTGCCAAGCAGCTTTAGAGACACAATCTTCTAGTTTGGAATTGGAGGAAAAGACAGTGTCCTAATGATGATAGTGAAAGTCATGGGCCAGCCTGGGTCACTGCTTCTTTCTGCCCATCATGGTGGGATGGATTGATCTCAGTGGTCAAGCCTGGAGGGGCTGAATCACTGTGTGAGAGAAAGAAAGAGTCACCAAAAATATTCAAGTGTAAATGATGAGACAGGGAGATGAAAGCCTAGCAGGCAAGCCACAGATGTCCCCACTGAAGGGGTGAGAACAGCTGCATTTAGAACACAGCCTCTTGCAGTAGAGGTGGCTGATTTTGCCCCTGTGCCTGTCTTTGGTCTTAAGTGCTGCCTGCAGGCTTACTATTTGCCAGGTGTCCACTGGATCATGTGAGCAATCCCTGATATTGTACAAACAGACACCAACTGGCTGCATAGAGAGAGCATCCTCAGCTTTCCTGGGTACCTCCAAGTGTCCAGAGTGCAGTACCCAAGCCTGGCTCAGATTGCCCAGGTCTTAATCAGTGGAGGCAGTTGTAACTACGACCATCCACTGTGTGGCTTTGAAACATCAGAAACTGATTTCTCACAGATCTGAAGGCTGGCAGGTCAAGATCAGGGGGCCAGGATGGCAGGGCATGGTGAGGGCCCTCCCTCAGGTTGCAGCTGACCCACTTCTCATTATATCCTCACCCTATGACTTTTTCACAGCTTCCAAGCCCTCCTTTCCAATCCTGGGGGAGCTGTGGAGACAACAGTGAGCACAAGGAAGGCCCCTACCCTCTTGGAGCCCACAGTCTAGAAGGAGAGACCGAGAAAGGACAAGTAAACTGATGAAGAAATAGGATGAATTCAGAAATGGTTGAGGAAACAGAGGAGACAGAGGGTCAGGTTGTTCCTAGGTGGCAGTTAGAATGGGCTTTTCAGAGGAAGTGTCATGAGTGCTGAGAGCTTATTGATGGAAAGGAGCTGCTGGCCCAAGAAGTGGGAAGGGCAGCTCAATGGTGCTCAGGCAGCAAGCAGCTGGCAGCCTCTGAGGGAGCAGGGGTGGAATGGAGATAAGTAGGGACAGCCCAGGGACAGAGAGGGAGAGGTGGGCCACCCTAAATCTGAGTCTACCCTCAAGGCCTTCTGAGGAGGTGTCAGGCAGGGTTTCTGAGCTGTCACCATCAGACAGCTTCTCTATAAAGACCCCAAAGCCCCTTGAAGACCATGCTGTGCTGAGCTTGGAGAGAGGCAGGTTGGGAAGGAGGTGCTGGGTCTGTTTGCCCCAAGCTCTGGTTGCCTGCCCTCAGCATCCGCCAGCACAGAGTGACAAAGCACACTTCTTCCTCCTCTTGTTTTTTACTTGATAACTTTTTATAGAATTGTTAAGCTCAAAATTCAGGGGAAGAACAGAGATTTCCCAAATGCTCCCATCCCTGCCCAGCCTCTGCCTCTGTCACCATCACTACCCACCAGAGAGGCACATTTGTTCCAGTTCAGAAACCCACATCATTGTCACCTAGAGTCTGGAGCGAACCTTAATCTTTCTTCTTGCTGATGTACATTCTGTGGGAATGGACAGTTGTAGAATGACATGAACCCACCTTTGTCCATGACCATGATGTTTACTGGCTGTGATCTGAGGAAGCAGGTGCGTTGGTCATCAGGACAGAGCAACCTGAATCCATGTGGAGCTTCACTGATGCAAAGTGCAGTCTCCTCACAGGCCTGATGGACCTTGCCTTCCTAGGTCAGTAGCCTCATTGGAAACTTGGGAATGGTAAAAGTGACACCTACATTGCATGGGTGCTATGAATCTTTGGGCTTACATAGGAAGCACTCACTTCCAGGAGGCACCCGTAGGGGTTTGTTGAATGGGTGAATAACGGTACTCTCTTCCAGACTTGGTGTGGGACAGCCTGGATTTGAATTCCCCCCCCCCCGGCACTTGTAGCTAAGTATTCTGTGGCAAGTCATTTCATCTGACCATGACTCAGTTTCCTCATCTCTAGAGGGGGGATATACTCATCACATTGAGTTACCAGGAAGAGTTGAAGAAACCATATCCATGAGCATGGGCCAGAAACACAGTGGTTGGTGGTGCTACTAAAACAAATGTATGCACACTTCCTATGCAGCAGCTACTGTCTTCAATTCTTGAAAGGTACTGCATTCCTCCCAAAATTTTGACATTGCTCAGAAGGTGCTGGAGCTGCTGTGTAAAAGATATGTATTGCTTCCAAGCCCTGGCATATGGCCATCTCTTGCTTGGTGCCGGGAATTCTGGGAACTCAGCTCTGGGGAAAGTAGTGTTTTCAGAGGAGCATCCTGCCTGGATGTTTAGAAAACCGAGTAGGATGAGCCCCCAGAGTATCTGCCTCAGGTCTGGTTCTGTGTAACTATTGGCAGCCTATACCTCTGGCCTTACCCTGTGGGCATATCCCCTCCCTGTGAGAAAGTTCTCTGCCTCAGGCCTCACTACTCTGAGGCTTCAGGAAAAACAATTTCCACATTTAGGAAGGAGTCTGTGGATTGCATCTGGGAGCATTCCAACCTGCATGTAGCCAGAATAGGGACACCTGGGGAGAAATGAATAGGGTCCTGGCCCTGAATAGCTAGGCAATAGGTGGTTTGGCTCAGTCATCACTCAAATGTATGTGTAGCACCACCATGGGCCTCATTTGGCCTATTATTTAGGAATCAATGCAGACAAACCTTCTAGTCCTCCTGGAGTTCCAGGATTGTCAGGAAGTTAGTAAAGCCCACCAGCCATCTTGGCAGATGAGGGGCACAGGATGTTAGAGGTGTCAGCCTCCTCACCATCTCTAGGTGTAGAAACCTGCAGCCAGATGTTTGTGAGGAGTAGCTTCAAGGAAAGAAGGGAGTTTTCTTTGGGTCAGTCAGGAGGGCTCCTGTTTCATGGGGAGCTCTTATAAATCATGGCTAGGCAAATACCAATTTCCACCCTGTGTGATTTCCCACAGAGGACTCAACTCTGGGGTTTACCCTGTAGAAAGAACACATTGTTCTGTATTTGATTCTGGGCACCAAAGGAACAGAATAGTGGTTCGGGCCTCAGAGCCAAGCCCTGTGTGGATCCCTTTTCAACACAGCCAATCCAAAGCCAGGTTGCCACTACTTTCCTGTACAGAGACCGGAGAGCAAGTGTGGGGAGCCCCTTACCCACACATGTGCCTCACAGGTTGCCCTTTTGATCTGGTGCATGGACTTGCCTGGCTACTCTTTGGGAACCCATGATGCAGGGACCTTGGGAGGTTCCAGTTAAAAGAGAGGCCCTGTCCATCATGACTCCCTGTTTCACTCCAAATTCCACAGCACCCTCTGCTCCATCTTCAAAATGCAGCTGTACCTCTATCCAGAATATTTTTGAGGTCCCAAGACTTGGACAATCTGAAGCTTCTCAGGACCTTCCTGTTGATCACTATGCCTGAATAAGAGGGGAACTTCCATGTTTTTCCCCAGCTGAAGAACACAGATCCTGTAAGTCTGAGCTCTCTGATGATGGGGTCTGGGGTGGATGACTGAAGTTGTGTGCAGAGGAATCTCAGCTGGTGCCCCTGGGATCTGCCATATGTTCCCAAGACACACAACTCTGACATCCTTCAGCTGGTGGAACCTAGTCTGGGAAGATGGCCAATTGTGGAGGAGGGCCAGGACTATTCTCAGAGGCAGGATTGTAGTGTGAATTGTGAAAGGCCCAAGGAAAGTCAGTCATGTTGGGTGTTTTCTCCTGCAGCTCTAGCACCATATCAAGTGATATAATTGCCTCCATCAGCTGTGGCCCAATTTACTTGCTTACATTTGGGGGAGCATATCATCACATTCCCTGTGAAGGAGGAGAAATAGCCCTCAAAATCAGAGGTTGGTCCTACACCAGCATTGACCACACAGGAAGATATGGAGCCACCAGTGGCCACTGAACCTTCAAGAAGAGGATTAAGCTTAGTTGCCAATAAGCAAGTCAGTGGATATTGAACATTATCTTCCACTTGGTATATATGTATGGTACATATGGTGCTCCAAGCTGCCATCCCATCCTCTGAAAGAGAACCACCTTTCTTGGCAGCAATATAAATTCAGGGTCCAAAACAATAGAGGCAGGAGGTCAAGAAACTATTAGGCCACAGCCCTCCACATCTCCTAGAATGTATCCTCACTTCCCTAGTTCTAAACTTTTCAAAGGCATCTCCCACATGTGAGCTCCTGAGCATTACCCAGTGCCAGAACCCCCAGCACAGCTATCCTTCCCCTCCCCTCTGAGATTATCTATTTTATTTTTTAAATTTTTATTGTTGGCTGTTCAAAACATTACATAGTTCTTGATATATCATACTTCACACTTTGATTCAAGTGGGTTATGAACTCCCATTTATACCCCGTATACAGATTGCAGAATCACATTTGTTACACATCCATTGATTTACATATTGCCATACTAGTGTCTGTTGTATTCTGCTGCCTTTCCTATCCTCTACTATCCCCCCTCCCCTCC